GCGCCGCTCGAGACATCCTCCAACTCTGCTCTGAAAGCGAAGGATGCTGGGATAGAAAACATGCAAACCGCTTGAGACATCCCCACAAAACGGCCGCGAACGGGACCGTGTCATACCCCTCGGCGGCTCCCCTTAAGGGTGCTGAAACCAGCGCCCAGCCTGAGACATCCTCACACTCTGCTGTGTGTAGAGTAAGTCAGACAATGAGAAGGCCTGAGTCTGAGTAAGTCTGGGTATGAGTGAGTCTCAGCATGAGTAAGTCTGAGTATGAGTAGGTCTGAGTATGAGTAGGTCTGAGTATGAGTATGTCTGAGTATGAGTAGGTCTGAGTATGAGTAGGTCTGAGTATTAGTAAGTCTGTGTATGAGTAAGTCTGTGTATGAGGAAGTATGGGTATGAGGAGGAGGAGGAGAAGGAGAACAGGAAGAAGAAGGAGTAGGAGGCGTCCAAGTAATAACAATAACCCCATCTTAGGATATGGAGAATAACAAGAACCCGATCTTAGGATATGGGAAACAAGCACATCCAAGCTCCCCCCCCACCCGGGATCTGGAAGGGAAAACCCCAGAAAACACACACACACACACAATTCGGTGTTTTATTCTGGGGTTTCCCGGGGGGGGTCCAGGGAACTCCCGCACCAGTCTCCCCCAGAGGCTTGGGTGAGAACGCAACCTTCAGTGAACCATTTCCAGGTGTTCAATATTTTGCTTGGTTTCCTGCGGCCTTGGCCTCTTCGGGCCACCCCTGGCTCGGGGGCCAACTCGAAGCCTTCTTTGAGCCACTTGGAGGCATGCTGACGACCAACTTGGGTCGTGTTGCGCAATCTTGGAGGCGAGTCTGGATCTGGGGCGTTCTCAGGCCATCTTCGGCCCCCTTGGAACCTCAGACGGCCCACGATCCGTCGCCCAGACCCCCGAGGTGGACTTTAGGTAACACTCAGGGCCGACCCCTCCTAGCGATAGAAATCGTGGCACTGGTGCGTCCCAGGTCCGGTCGTGTGCCTGGCAAGGCCAGACAAGGCGGGACAAGGCAAGGTGGCCCTCCAAGATGGTGCCGGATGGGACACCTTGGGTCCAAGATTGCCTCCAGAATGGCTCGACCAGGCCCAAAGAAGGCATTCAGGTGGCCCCAGGGCCTCCCAGGGATGCTCCCAAGAGGCGAAACTCCGAGTGGCTGCTTTTGGAAAGGCACTGGAATTGCAGACCATCTGCGCCCAGAGGGTGGCGAGGCCTTCGCAGCTGCATCGAGCGGATGTGAAGGGGTCTGGCTCTGGCTACGCACGGGCGAGGAGAAGGAGGAACCACGTGGGCAAAGACGTTGGAAGACTTGCTAGGGAGGTTTAATAGATGACAAGAGAAAACATGATGGAGGAGCGTGGACGAGTTCGAACACCGGGGTATAAGCGGGAAGAAGGAGGAGGGATGTTGCGGGGGGGAAGTACTTAGAGTAGAAGAGAGACATTGAAGAGGAGGAGCAGGAAGGGGACGGAAGCGGAGGAGCAGGGAGAAGACAGGAGGAGGGATGTGGGGGGTGGAGGGGGGAAGGGGAGGAGAGGGAGGGGTGGGTTGGATAAGGGGGGGTGCTGGATTAAGAAAAGGAGGATGAGGAGGAGAAGAACAGAGAAGTGGCAGCAGGAATATGCAATCCTTCGTAAGGAATATTTACGTGACGGATCCTTAGTACAGAATATGTGCAAGAGAACATGTGTTTTGGATGCCTTAATCACGGATCCGTAGCAAAAGCCCTTCGTATTGAATCGGTAGTCATGAATTCCTGGTACGGGATCCTTACTGAGGAATCCGTAGTAAGGACTCCTCAGGAAGATTTGTTTGATGGGGTCTTTAATCAGGAAGCATGAATGAGGTCGCCGTACCAGGGGACCTTTACTAAGGAATCCTTGATCGCGAATCGCGCTTACCCTTAATAAGGAGTCCTTACTAGTGCATCATTAGTAAGGAATTGCACATCCATAATCCTCAGACACATCTCGCACAAGGGATCCATAGAAAGAAGCCCTTACTGAGGTGTCCTTACCAAGGGGTTCTTAGTGATGGATCCGTAGTAAGGAATGCTTAGTCAGGTGTCCTGAGTAAATGGGTCCTTCTTAATGAATCCGCAGTAAGAAAACTTTCAGAATGAATCTTGAATGGGAAACCCGTGCCGATGATTCTTTAGTCGCGCCTCCTTCGTAAGGAGTCCGCAACGGGGGGTCGTTCGCAAAGGGGTTATTAATAGGGTTTCTGAGCGGGAAACCTTTTGTACGGAACACTTAGTTCGCAATCATCATGGAAGGGGCCCTTAACAAGGAATCCTTAGTACGCAGTATCCAGAAAAGGAATTATTTTGAAGGATTGTTTGGTCTGGAACCCTGAGCAAGGCTTTTGTACTGGGGTACCCTTACCATGACATCATTGCTATTGAAAGTCTGACAACCCTAAGTAAGGCATTCGTGCTAAGACGTTTGTCGCCAGAGATCTTATATAAGGGGCCATTTGAACGGAACCCTTGGGAGGGTATCTTTACTAGGGGCTCCTGAGTACGGTATCCGCAGCAAACCATGTAGTTTAAATGCAGATTTAGTAAAGGATGTTTGGCCAAGGGATCCTCAATAATGACTCCTTCAGATTGAATTCAGACTAGGGAACCATCCCCTTACCTACCCCTCCTTAGTAAGGGCTCCTTGGTCGGTAATTCTTAGTACGGGGTTCTCACAAAAAGGATCGTAAGTGGGCAATTCTTGGTACGTTCCCCTTCAATCAGGAATTGTCAGTACGGGACCCTGAAACAACGTGATCTGGCAGACTGAATCCTCAGTAAGGAATCTTTTCGAACAAGTGGCTTTGTATATAGAGAACCCTGAGTCCGTTTCCACATTAGGGAGCCCTCACTACGGAATCTTTGATAGAGAATCCTGATCAAGGACACCTGAGTAAGGACTCCGTATTAAGGAGTTGCAAATAAGGGGTCCGACGTCAGGCATCCTCATGATAAGGCCCTCAATGAGGATTCCCTGTGTCGGGAATCGGTTGTTAAATGTTGCCATTAATATGGGTTCCTGAGTAAGGAACCCTTACGAAAGACCCCTTTTCTGAAAGATGCTTTATCACGGGTCCGTAAGCATCATCTTTCGTGAGGAATTCGTATTTCGAAATATTTCGTACGGGGTCCTTGGTATAGAATTCTTGGTAACAAATAATTCAAGCCCAGGAATAGTGAATACGTGTTCCTCCGCATCGCCTCATTGATATCGAGTCTTCCGTAGGGGGATCCTTTGTAATACGTTTTTTTTCCTAGGGACTCTTGAGTGGGAAGTCCTTCGTACATACCACTGGAACAATTATTTGTTCAGCCAGGAGCTCTGCATAAGGAGTTCTGACTAAGGATTCGTCAGTTAAGAACCCTTTTGAAGGAGTGTTTTGCGGGGAACACTTTGCACGGCTTCTTTACCAGGGGACCTTTTGCACCAAGGAGTTTTTGATAGTGAATCGTGATTTCCTTGAGTCCAGAATCTAGGTGAACCATGCAGGAGCATTCGGTAAGGAATCCGACATACGGGGCCCACGCCATATCTCTCTCTCTCTCTCTCTCTTTCTATATATATATATATAAACAGACGTTACCAATATGTCCTCGTTCGGGGATTCTTACTACGGCCTCCGCCGTACTGAGTGCTTAGTAAGGTATCGTTAGCAAGGGATCTTGATACACATGTATTCCTTTGGCGGAGGAGGAGGCTGGCCATGGGGGGGACCTGTCCAAAACAAAAAAAACGCATTCGCCCTCCTGAATCCACTGGTCCCGTTTTTTCCCAAACCCCGATCGATTTGAGTGGGCGCGTTTTTTCGTTGTGTTTTCCCCCCAGGGCCAGACCCCCCGCTTCCGCCACATGAGGAATCAAGGTGTTTCCCCCGCACACACACACACAAGGGGAATTGTTGTATAACCCCCCACACGGCGAATCGATTGATCCTTTCCCACAGTCACCGACAAATGGACAGACATCGATGTGAGCGCCTTCCAGAGTGGGAGCGAGAAAGGGAGAGAGAGAGAGAGAGAGAACACAACAAAAAGGAGGCAGCGAGAGACAGATAGAGAGAACGAGAGAGAGAGAGAAGGGGACACACCAATACACGCAAAACATGGATAGAGAGAGAGAGATAGCTCAGCATCCTTACGACACATCTTCGGACACGCAGGCACCCGTTATTACTTGCTTCGGAGCCCCAGCCCAGGAGCAGCCGCAGCTGAAACAAACAGGGTGGGGAGGTGACGAAGGAATGGGTGGGGCGATGAGCAGGACTTCGTGGATGGACGCACTCATCACCCCCTCCTTCGGCAGCATCTCCATATTATCCTCTTCCCTCCCCACCACCACCCTGAAATACATACACAAATCCTTCCTGGAATCCTCCCCCCATGATGAGCATGATGGTAGCGCTCGCCTGTGAGTTGGGCGTATGGAAGCAGACGCTAACAATAATGATCGGGGATGGACACAGTAGAATGGTAGGCCTCGTGCTGATGAGTCATGAGCGGAGAGCAGGGTTAGGATTTGCGACTGATTGTGTGTCGCGTGTTTTTATCACCCTTGTCCTCCCAGTCCTCCTTTTCGCCCCCGCCTTCAAGTGTAATTATCCTCCACGTCCTCAGTCCTCGTTCCTCTCCCTCATCATTCCTCGTCCCCCCTTTCCCCCAACATGTTGTGCCCTTCGCGTGTTCCTCTTCATCCTTGCCCACTCTGTTCTTCCCGTTTCCCACCGTATAACCCAATCCCAATTCGATTTCTATCATCTTTCGTACTTCCTCGCCCTCTCTGCCTCCTCTGCCTCCGTCTCCGCTTTCGCCCCATCTCCCTGCTCCCCCCCTTGCATGAATCCGGCCCTCCACCCCTCTTTCCCTCCTCCCTCCTGCAGTGGCGAGTTCGTTCGGCCACGCCGCAGCGGCTCAATTGAGCAGCCAGTCCGAAAAGAAAGCGGGCCCCCGCGGCGATCGCGTCCATGGATGGGGAGGGGGGGCGCACCCTCCCACCCTGTTGATTCCCCTCCTCGCCCTGGCTCTCCCGCGCCGATCCGATGCATGGTATGTCAGAGGGGGTAGCTCGTGGTGTTCGCACGTGCCAGCAGGTACGTGACACCAGACGTGCTGCGCAATGCCGAGTCTTCTTCGTTCAGTTCTTCTCCCCGCTTCCGCGTGTTCCCACGCCCGTTCCATAGCAGGCGTAACGGCATACTGTGCGGCGGAAGCGGCACGCCCGATTAGACCTGGAAGTGTGTTGAAAGGCCCAACCGTAAATAGTTACCTTCCCGTTGTTTTCTGATTCCTCTTCGTACCATTATTCTGCGTGCTCCTCACTCTCCTCCTAACCATCCGCATCGTCAGGCAGGCAGGCAAGAGCTGCGCCCTGACGGCACATCGGCAACACATACAATGTTGAAGACGTATTTGACAAAGCATGCAGGAAGATACGCGTGCAGACGGCGGGCCAAAAACAGTGCTTCGGGGAGCAAGCGTCGGACCTTTCGCATCCGCATCGTCGTCGTGGTCATACTCCATTGCTTCTCTTCCGCCTCCCCCGTCACCAATTCCTCTCCCCAGCACTGGCTCTGGTCGCCGCCATCGTCGGGCCTAGACGTCAGCCCCTGCTGGCCCCTGCTTGCCTCGTCCCACCAGTCCCGTCCGCACTTCGCTTCCTCGTCCTCGTATTCGTCATCCTCCTCCTGCTGCCTTAGCCCCACTGGCTCGCGTGCGCCACCATCGTTTCCCTTTCCTGCCGCAATGTATCTTCATTCTCCCACCCTCGTCCTTCTCCCATGCTCGTCCTTCCATTCCTGAGCGCCCTGGGGCCTTTTCGATTGTGCGAGGGTTCAAACCGAGTGAAGCGGCGGTCAGATCATTTTCCCATTACTCGAGTTTTTTCATGTCCCGGCCAGTCTTCCAGAGATGAGAGATGAATATCGTGATGTTGCTACTCACGTGCCAGACTCCCTGAATCTGGCGCGGAAGAACAATTTGAACAATACCCTGGCCCGCCCGTCGGGGGGGCAGGCGAGAGATGGGCAGCTGCGGCGCGGTGGCCCGCGCCGTATCGGCACGGCGCGGCAGGGGCTCATGGGGATGGCGAGGACTTGGGCCTTCTTGGCGATCCGACGGGATCACGCCCGAGTGTGTTACACTCTGTTCCAAATAACTAACTCCTCCCTGTCGCACCCCGAGGCCAGTCGAAAGGGCTGGCCGTGTATTTCGCACGAGATTTCTTCACCAGCTATAACCCTGAATATCAAACATTGGTAACAGTTTCACAGATGGAGGGCGGGTGGTTTTCAACATGTGATTCTCGCTTCAGCGCCGAGCACAGTTGTCTGTTGTTTAAATCAAATGCAAGAGCTTTACGAATTGAGGGAGGGTCGTTTTCAACATGCGGCTCTCGCCTTAGCCCCACGCACATGTGTATTCAACAGTGCAAGAGGTTCACGCATTGAGGGCGTTTGGTTTTCAACATGTGGTTCTCGCTTTAGTGCCGCGCGCATTCGTTTAAACATTTGCAACAGTTTCACGGATTGAAGGCGGGTCGTTTTCAAATTGTGGTTCTCGCTTTAGCGCCGCGCGCATTCGTTATAAAAGTTTGCAACTGCTTCGCGGATTGAGGGCGTTTTTCTTCAAACATGTGGCTCTCGCATTGGCGCCGTGCACACTCGTGTTAAAAGTTTGCAAGAGCTTCACGGATTGAGGGCGGTTCACTTTCAACATGGGGTTCTCGCCTTAGCGCCGCGCACGTTCGTTCTAAAAGTGCGCGAAAGTGTCACGAATCCCCATGGTTAACGTACCAGAAATTGTGTGTTGGACCGACTCATGACTGTCAGGGCGCAATTGTTACAATGATTTTTTGTGTTGTTGTCCGAGGAGTGGTGTTCTGGCACGGTTCAGGATCGCCAAGACTCCATAATCAAGTTAATTCCTGACGTTGAAGTCCTGACAAGGGTGTTTGGACGCGCTTCAGGATTTTGACACGGTTGTCCACCAACGGGGCATTTCTTTCAGTGGAAATGAACCGAGCCCGTGTATGGGGTTTGTGAAGAGGGAGTTTGGAGGGAGGGCGTATTCTAACATTGTTGACGAGTCTCAGGTTTGCCTTGGTCCTCTTCCTCCTTCTCCTCCACCTCCTCCTCCTCTCGTCCTCCTCGTCCGTCCTCGGCCTCCTCTGGTTTCCGGCCTGCCATGGCCGCTTTGCGGCCCGGGTGCCTTCAACAAAAAGGCTGCCCGGGAGGAGACGCAGGTAGGCGTCGAGGGGCCCGTTGGGCCAGCGGTTCGGCAAAAGTTGAGTCGCCGGAGGTGTGTGCGGGGAAGGCGAGAGGCATGAGGAGGGAGGGAGGAGGGAGGGAGGAGGGAGGGAGGAGGGGGCCGGGGGGAGGAGGAGGAAGAAGCCTTCGACGAGCAGAAAGAGGAGGAAGAGGTGGAAGGAGTGAAGAGGTCTTCCTATCTTCCCCCCCTTCCCCTCCC